GAGAGAGCCCTAGGTTGCACTGCGCCGTTTCCTGCGAAGAGGCGGTGAGCGATGAGAGTAAAGCGGTAGCGGCAACGTACACGATAAAGGGGGGGGGGAGAAAGTGCAAAGTTGGAGAAGAGGAGTATTGCTGCAGGGGTGAGCCTGCAAACCAGCGACGAAGGGGATGGAAGTGACTCGAGTGGGTCCATTGCGAGAGATATGGAGGATGCAAGCAATTAAGCACACTCAGTGGCCTGAGACCTAGAAAGCATGGTCAAGAGGAAAGCGGAGTGTGCTTGGTATATGCAAATGAGAGTGAAACCGAACCTATGGCCGTTGGCTACTGAACGGCCCACGATCCTTGGAGACAGAATCGGCTACTCAGTTAGTGGTGGAAACAGCCATGCTAGTTGTGAACAGATTCAACTTCAACACTACCAGTTCTTGGCGCCCGCAGACTGGCGGATGCTACGATAGATCCGCCCAGCAGCGAGTAACTAGCGATGATGGATAACGGTGATCAGGTCAGTGAACGGGCCGGTGATTGGACCTCGAGGCGAGCATGACGTATGCGACAAAAAATTAGTGGCTCGTAACGAGAAGAAGGGAACCTGAGTTATTTTTTCCTAATGAAGAAATGAACTATCATGCTACCAGGTACGTTTGAACAAAAACTGCTGTAAATCTACAAGCATAAGAGGTGGAGAGAAAACCCGAGTGAGTGAGAGAGCGAGCATGCAAGAGGTAGTAGAGAGAGGGAACGAGAGAGGACTGTTTCACACTGCCAGGGTGGGGAAAGAGCCCGTTTCTAAAACTCGCTGAGATTTGGGAACGTTGTCAGAATTTAAGTCTGCTGTCTCTTGATATCGTAGAGTGACGAATCACGGGACAACCGCCGTCGATCAGAATACTCCTCGAGAGAGCATTGTGCCTCACTTCTAGGGTAGACAAAAAACTCGTTTCTAGAAATAGATAAATTCTGGGAAATCCATCAGAATTTAAGTCAGTTGTGCTTGGCATGGAAGTGTCCCCTCTGATCTGTATACCCCTAAGAGAGGGCTGCATCATACGAATAAATTGAATGAAAAACTCGTATATTGGTCTAATTGATTTTGATGTCGATATGTTCAGTGTTGATGGTGAACCAATCGCACTCTGTGTACAAATCATGTGAGAAGACTCAACCGATGTGACCATGTATAACCACACTGTTGGGATGATCAATTGAAAGACGAGAGTTAACAGAGCATGGCCGAGCTCGCTCTAGTGCGCAGATAGCCAACAGTGAACTGGGTAATAGCGGACTAAAGTGAATAGAAGTTGTTAGGGTATCCGGTGCGCGAAGAGATCAGGGGCGCGTGTCCCTGACCAGCTGATTGGCTGGGTATCGCGGGGAAGCAAGTTAGTACCCCGACAAGTACTTGACATCGAGTGACCGAGCAGATCCTTGGTTCACTCCGCCTTTAAAAAAAAAGGCGGATTCGCTGCGAAATCACTATTAAGATGCTGATAATTATTTGAGATTAAGCGACCAATTGAATCAAAGGTTCGCTCAACAACTGAAAATCGCAGATTGACTGCGAAATCGCCATTAAGCCATTGATAATTTTTCGAGAACGAGCAAGTGATCAGGTAACGGGTTTGCCCTACGGTCGAAAGTCGTTGTGATTCTCTTGACTGTCCTAGTGCACTGATCGGTGAAGTCTTGGTAGCTTGCTCGGGAAGATAAACAAGAGTGAGTAGCAAATTAGAGCTCATACTGCTGGGTCAACAAGACTGCTGATTGGCTGCGAAAACCCCGGATACCAAGGCTTTAAGAGGGTCCACGATATGACTCGGGCAGACAATGTTGGGCTGCGCCTTCCTGCTGCGTGAAGAGACGGACAGTGAGGGGGTGAACATCATGCATCAAAGGGTCTATGCAGACGGGGGCGCTCAAAGGTTGAGCTTTGTGGATGGTTTGCTTGGGCGCACTGAATGGCGAAGCCAGCACGGATGGGTAATGGCTAAAGATTTGTTTCTCTATACAGACAAGAACACTTAGTGAAATTATATATATATTGTCACAAACAGAACTGCCCGGTAAAACCGTAGGCAGAGAGAGAGAAGAGGACAACAAACGAGGGGCTGTGACAAACTGTTTCGTCGGAGTTTCACCGACTCATCAGGAGGCTGAACCCTCAACAGTCTGCAGA